TTTTTGCTATTATTATTACTGATAATTTTAATCATTTTTTATATTGTTATTAATATTGTTGGTAATATAGTTTTATTATTTTTGCTATTATTATTATTAGAATTATTATTGATAATTTTATTTTATTATTATTATTATTAGTATTAAAATTAGTGACAAGGTTGAGTGGTTAGCAGCGTTGGGATACAAATACGATGTTATGAAGCATAATACGAGAATTAGGAATGAGCTTTCAGTGTTGATATTTACACACTGATACACTGGAACCGTGATGATGGTAAGCTACAGTGGTACCTCCATGAGCTCGGTCGCTGCTTGAAATGGACACAACTGCAAAGCATAGCTTTCTATTGGGACTGTGAGGTATTACTGCATGCACTGCAGTCACAGACAGGGAATGTTAGCAATGCCAGACAAGCCACAGGGTGGGGGGGAGGGATTGTCAGCTCAAGATCTTTCACATGTCTTCATGAGTCATCAGGAGCTATGCAATGTTACAAGAGCTGCTCTTGCAACATTGCAAAGCACCTGATGATGCATGGTAATGAGTGAAAGATCTTGAGCTGAAGATTTCCTCCCCTCCCATAGCTTGTTTTGTGCAATACTGCATGTACAGGATACCCCAAGATATACCTCAAGGTCAGCCTGGCCCATGGCCGGGCTCCGAGAGTAGTAAAACTCGAAACTCTTCAAAGGTATATAAAAGGTATATGTTTTACGATATTCCTCATGACAATGTTTTGCTCTCAACCGACTTTTTTGCAACTTGGTAACTTAACCCTTAAATGGTCCAAACGTATATATACGTTTTTTCAACATCTGAAAGTATGTAAAAAATGTAGATCTTCTTTTTTGTTTTACATTTGAAAACGTGTAAAAAAAACTTTTATCTACATTTTTTTTGTTGTATTTGAAAATATGTAAAAAAAAGTAGATCTACTTTTGTAGCTACGAATTTGAACATCGATCTGTTTGGACAGTTTAAGGGTTAAAGAAGCTTGTCGTATAGGCTGAACATTTCTTCATTAAAAGTTTTTCCTTTCATTTGTGTTTATTCTGACCATTTAATAACAAAAAAGTCACAATATCATGACTGGAACGATACACCGATAACCCGCACATAGAGCAGCTCATGACGACGTTTCGGTCCGACTTGGACCATTTACAAAGTCACACTAACGAAACTCATTATGCATTTTGGAAAATTTGCATAATCAGAGAATTTAAAGGAAATGCTAACAATTTCAGAATAATGTGTGAGACTAGGTGTTGACATTATGTACTAAATAAAGAAGGTTCCGATGTTTAAATCTCATAATATTTAATGAATAAGATATCTGTGGAACACTTGGGTATCTTTATTGCTGAACTGTATCACCTGTGCAACAGACTTCTTCAGTTAAATACTGGCAAATATAACTTTAGAGACAGTAGAAGAAATTTTGAGGTGATCAGTTTCTCAGTCTTGATAGGGGGTGGTTGGCATGTCCAGGCATTCTGCCCCAAGACTGGACTTGTGGAACTTCATACCCATCAAAATTTGCAAGAAATTATCTTGGGCTTTTACGGTAGTATCGTGTGAAGGAGTCTGGACGCTGGTATCATCCCACAGATATTAAAAACTAATGATATTGCTCACTTCACAAAGGTGGCAGTTTAAAAATTTTAGAGACCAGTAACACTAACTTCACATATCAAGATCTTTTAATGGTCCGTAAGAAGCAAGATTGTCAATCACTTGAATTGCAACAGTTGCACAATCCAGGGCAGCATGGGTTTAGATCAGGTTGCTCTTACCTCTCGCACTTGCTAGACCATTACAATATGATCTTGGATACATTGGAAGATAAGCTAAATGCTGATGTTATGTACATTGATTTTTCAAAAGCCTTTGACAAGTGTGACCACAGTGTGTTAGCACAGAAAATGCATACAGAAGGAATAACTGGTAAGTGGGCAGATGGGTATTTAACTTCAAGGTTGGTGAGACTACTGAGCTAGAAAACGTAAAGAAAACTTCCACTGTTCATATACACTGAATCATGCATCTAAACTAGCAGGAATTTCTGAAGTCCCTTGAAGCGTATTCCTCGGAACATAGGTGAGAAAGGTACATTATAATTTGTGAGGGACTAGACCCAAACCTACACACCAGAATCATTCTTTGTGAAAGCAAGCGACTTTGCAGATGGTGCAAAATGTACATGATTGTGTACAAAAAATGCTTGCAGAAGTATTAACCGGAAAAGTGGACCGATGGATATTTAACTGCTTAACAGATAGAAGCCAATGAATTATAGCGCACAGAATAAAATCAGAGGCTGCCACAGTAAAAAATTCTGTTGCTCAAAGCACAGAACTCACCCCAGTTCTCTTTCTTATTCTCATATCCAACTTAAAGGTATTGTTTATAGTGCCTTACCATCTTTTGCAATATTAAAGGAGCTAGACTAGTTAGTGCTTCCAGCAGAAAGCAGTGATCTAGACATGGGGTCTGCTGTCTGTCCTTCCCTTATACTGGGAAACAAAATTAAAGAAATAAGCAAGAAAAGATTTTTAACTGATTGTTAAAAGAAACAGAAATGGGTATTTAACATAACTGCTATTGAATTCTGTTTGTAGTTTTTTGCCAGTGAGTGAGAGGGAATGTGAGTAGATAGAACTTATAACTAATGTGTAAACTGCCATTACAAAAAATAAGCCAGTGTTTTCCTACAATTACAATAATACTTTGGTGTAATAAATGAATAGAGGAAGTGGTGGTCTGCCGACTAAGTTATGATTTTATCAGAGCAAAACGAAGTGTATAATAAATTCTTTGATCTGCACCTTAGGGTATTTTTTCCGTATTTGTTGGCAGTACTTGCATTGCGGTCCAACCCACGAGAAGCGTGTGCTCATATTCATTAAATATTGCTCTGGTTGTGTTAATATTTATTTTCATTAGAAATGTAAGTCAATTAAATTGGTTTGTGGCATGGGAAATTGATTAATGCCATTTTTCTAAAAATTCTGTTTCTGTTTTGGGCACAGTGTGTTGAGGAGAAATCCAACAAGCATTTGTAAGTGGATTAGAGTTGGTGGAGATAAGTGGTTTTTGGTAGTTGACACGTTGTTGGAGTGTGAGAAAGGTAATATCTGTAAAGGAATTCAGGCAAAACTGGTTAGTCAGAACTACATTCTGTAGGTAGATTGTACCCCCAGTCAAGTGATGATGTTATAGATTTCCTTTGTTGAAGACTTTCATTTTACAGAAAGTTGTGGGACAATATAAAAAGCTAAGTTGGGTCTAAGGATGGGTCTATGAAAGATGAGGTGAATCATAGAATTGATGAGGGAAAAGAGTGAGTGGTGCACTTAGGAGTCTGTGGAGACAAAGAACTTTGTCCTTGGAGGCAAAGAGGGGAATGTATGAGAGTATAGTTTTACCAACGCTCTTATATGGGTGTGAAGCATGGGTGATGAATGTTGCAGCGAGGAGAAGGCTGGAGGCAGTGGAGAGTGTCATGTCTGAGGGCAATGTGTGGTGTGAATATAATGCAGAGAATTCGTAGTTTGGAAGTTAGGAGGAGGTGCGGGATTACCAAAACTGTTGTCCAGAGGGCTGAGGAAGGGTTGTTGAGGTGGTTCGGACATGTAAGAGATTGGAGCGAAACAGAATGACTTCAAGAGTGTATCAGTTCCTGTTAGTCAGCATTGATTAAATTTTAAACGTTCTAGGACTTCATAAGCTGAGTACTTCTGCTAGTGGTACAACCTGGAACATTTTAGGTTATGAATAAAGTGGCCTGGTGGTAAAACCTCTCGCTTCACACGGTGAGGGTCCGGATTCGATTCCTGGTGAAAGAGTGGAAACGTTTGGACGTGTTTCCTTACACCAGTTTTCTATGTTCACCCATCAGTAAAATGGGTACCTGGGTGTTAGTGGACTGGTGTGGGTCGCATCCTGGGTGTTAGTGGACTGGTGTGGGTCGCATCCTGGGTGTTAGTGGACTGGTGTGGGTTGCATCCTGGGTGTTAGTGGACTGGTGTGGGCCGCATCCTGGGTGTTAGTGGACTGGTGTGGGTGGCATCCTGGGTGTTAGTGGACTGGTGTGGGTCACATCCTGGGACAGAACTGACCTAATTTGCGGGAAATGCTCAGCATAATGAGCGGCTTTCTATATAGTGGTATGTCATTGATGTCAGCTATGATCTGTATATCTTGTACATGTACTTGTAGTAAATAAAGATTATTATTATTGGACACTTGTCAGCGCTCAGTAATAACCCAAGTGGAGTCAGAAACTCAGGAGATTAATTGATCTATATATGTTGACTTGCAGATTGCTTTTAATTAACCTGACTTGGTCACATGACCACTTGTAAGTGAGGTCAGTAGGTGGTCTACTTCCTCACCTTAGCAGTCCCTCTGATATACAACCCAACTAGCACTACTATACTGTATTGTGTGCCTTGACAGTGTGATTGATAGATCAAAGTATTTGCAGTTTTTTTAAATGTTGTTAAAATGTATATTAGCCATTTGTACTATGTGCAGTTTTGTTGTGGATATGTATTATATACTATACTGTATAAAGGTTTCTCTTTTTACAAGGGGTCGCTTTATGCAGGTTATTCATTATGTACGTACCTATTTGTGGTAGCAGGGGCCAAGCCACAGCTCCCATATATGTTGATTCTTTTGTGTGTGTGATGTTTCCTATATACAGTCAGTGTAGTTTGCAAGAGAGTGGAGTTAAGTGTTGATGGTTTGATTGAGCTCGGTACACTGGTAGTGAGTGTAAATGCATGTATGTATTTTCATAAAATAAGGGACACCTATATAAATTATATACAGTTTATATAATGTATTAATTTTAATAGTTCTTCTGCATGTTGAAACATTCCTACTCATTTTACATATTATTTAGGATAGTTCAATTAACCGTTCTTTTTTTATTTGATTTATTCTCTGTTCTTTTATACCAATTTTTGTTCGGTCTTGGTGAATGTTACAGTTAGGTGTTCTCATCGCTGGACCCCCAGATCCAATACCCCAGGTATGTTACTGCTGTGGCTGCTCCGCTGTGTCGCTTGCTCTAGATTTGCCTTGCTTGTGTTCTGCTTAATTGTGTTCTTTGGTTTCTATCTTTAACTATCCTTTCTCTGTTTTCATTACATATTAATACTGTGCTGTACTTTTACGTCTTAATGATATTATTAAATTAATTAAGTTTTTTATTTATTGTCAGAGTAATTTATCACAAGCTGCTACTCATATTAATGTACTATACACAAATAACTTGCACATACTGACTTCTCTACCTTCGCGCTTGTGTGTGTGACTAGTTAATGGTCTAAGTCAGACCGAAACGTCATACATTTGTTTCTCTTACGTGCAGGTTATTTGTGTATTGTTCCAGTAATTGTATTGTGCCTTTTTCTTTTTTATTAACGTCCTGAAATTACATCTTAATTTGGCACACCAAAATCTTATGTTTGGCAGCTGTCAGATGGATATATATAAATTTTTAGATTGTACACTCAAAATTTCTTATTCTCATTAAAGATTCTTAAGGCAAATAGTGTAGAGTTGTGTAGTTAATATTAATCAGGTATGTAGTGTGTGTTCTTATTAACAAGAAATTGTTGAAGAATTGCCACTCTTCTACCTCACTCACTTCTCATATTACCAAGAATATGACACCTGCATGAGCTCCATACAAGCCCTGGCTCACTTATATGTACTGTACTGTACTCTGTTGTACTGTACTATATTGTACTTGGCTATATTGTATTGTACTCTGTTGTACTCTGCTGTATTGTACTGTAATGTACTATACTGCACTGTACTATACTGCACTGTACTATACTGTACTGTACTGCACTGTACTATACTGTACTGTACATTCACTCACTAACAACACATAAGTCACACAGTAAATTAGTGATGCATTAATAAATTTCTGTGGTATGTTTCACTATTGTTATAATTAAAGAATAATAGTTTGTTGTAATTCACACTGAGAGTAAACCCTCGCTTTATATGATCTTGACTTGAAACACTTAGGAAATGCGGTGCAAAATCCACTGAGTCGCTTGATAGGGACGCAGCAGACGTAGTCTGCTGCTCATAGAATTGTCCTTTATTTTAACAATCGCAGGAAAAAAAAACCATACCCCAGCCGGGATTGAACCCGCGGTCAGAGAGTCTCAAAACTCCAGGCCGTCGCGTTAGCCACTAGACGCAGGAAACCACATTTCAGCCTTATCCATCAGAATCACCATTACCAGTCACTCACCCTCCATCCCTCCCTCCCCATTATTCCACTTAAATCAAGGGTTTGCTTATAAGAAATAGAATCTGAAGCGAAGTTACTTGTGACTTGATAGTCATCCAAGATGAACTATAATGTAGTCTAAGTTTTATTTTTTTATTGTTCCAGATATAGTACAGTATTGTGTTTTTTCCTTCAATGTTTCGTACTTTTTGAAAAAGAAATTATTTGAACTTTATGTTAATATTTTCTCAAAATTACTTACTGTAATACGTTCATTGCTGTTAACAGACCATAACGTCCTCTAATGGCAACACCAGTGAACACAAGAAATATTTTCAATTTCTGCAATAAGATCACAGTAAACAGTTGGTATCACAATGTGCAGAACAACCACTGCAAAAAGAATAGTGATGAAATTCCAAGCACTCTCATGATATCTCACGTTATTATATTCCTCGGTAACATGAGAAGTCACAAAAGCACTTGGAATTTCACTATTTTTTCACAGTGGTTGTTCTGAAGCCAGTTTCACAGTGGTTGTTCTGAAGCCAGTTTCACAGTGGTTATAGGCAGCCAGTTTATGAAGGTTACCCAGATAGTACACAAAAATATGAATGAATCCAGTGTCTCAAAGCTCAGTGGCAAACAAAAGGAATTAACTTTGAATCCTGGGCAAGGTGAGGTATTCTGGTAAATCTTATATTTGGTGTGCTTGTTCAGCAAGCAGCAAACACTGTAAATAGAGGTGGACTGGTAAGCCGGTGGAAGGCCTTGGTCAGATGACCAAAAGCTCTAGTTAGGGATCATCATATGACTAAGACCTGTGTCAGCAAACACTTGTCCTGTTTCCTGACAAACCTGTCCTGTTTCCTGACATACCTGTCCTGTTTCCTGGCATACCTTTCCTGTTTCCTGACATACCTGTCCTGTTTCCTGGCATACCTTTCCTGTTTCCTGACATACCTGTCCTGTTTCCTGACATACCTGTCCTGTTTCCTGACATACCTGTCCTGTTTCCTGGCATACCTTTCCTGTTTCCTGACATACCTGTCCTGTTTCCTGACAAACCTGTCCTGTTTCCTGACAAACCTGTCCTGTTTCCTGACATACCTGTCCTGTTTCCTGGCATACCTGTCCTGACATACCTGTCCTGTTTCCTGGCATACCTGTTCTGTTTCCTGACATACCTGTCCTGTATCCTGACATACCTGTCTTGTTTCCTGACATACCTTTCCTGTTTCTGACATACCTGTCCTGTTTCCTGACATACCTGTCCTGTTTCCTGACATACCTGTCCTGTTTCCTGGCATGCCTTTCCTGTTTCCTGACATACCTGTCCTGTTTCCTGACATACCTTACCTGACCTAACATGACCTAATACCTGTGTATTAGGTCAATGTTGTGGGTCACATTGGATCCCCATGAAAGCAAGCCAAACTGGCTTAAGTTAACCTCGGTTAATAATTTGAGTGGATTGATACATAAACAACCCTGCACATAGGAGACCAACTTATGACAACTTTTCAGTCCAACTTGGATTATTATCTAGTCACATGACTAGTTATTGGTCCAAGTCAGACCAAAACATCGTAATAAGTTTCAGTCTCCTATATATGTGTTACTTGTGTGTTAGTCCAGTCACAGCACATTAGAACCTCCATATCCGCAGATTTGGTGTCCACGGTTTCAGTTATCCAGAGTTTACTGTAGCCCAAAAATGCCTTTTAATTTTGCATAATAATGGCCACAGAGTGCAAAAATAGAGAAGCTGACAGTTCTTCTAAGCTAAGAGAAGCCATTAAGTGCTTCCCATCAGTGGAAAAGTGATAACTCTCTATTTACTGTGTATACTTTATCAATTAACCCTTAAACCGTCCAAACGTAGATCTACGTTTTTTTCAACATTTGAAAGTATGTAAAAAAATAGATCTTCTTTTCTTTTTTTACATTTGAAAAAGTGTAAAAGAAACTTTGATCTACTTTTGGAGCACTACGCATGTGAACGTAGATCTGCTTGGACAGTTTAAGGGTTAAGCTTTATAATAGGTATGTATAGGACTTATATACAGTGGACCCCCGCATAACGATCACCTCCAAATGCGACCAATTATGTAAGTGTATTTATGTAAGTGCGTTTGTACGTGTATGTTTGGGGGTCTGAAATGGACTAATCTACTTCACAATATTCCTTATGGGAACAAATTCGGTCAGTACTGGCACCTGAACATACTACTGGAATGAAAAAAGTTCGTTAACCGGGGGTCCACTGTATAGGGTTCGCCGCTATCCACGGTTTCAGTATCCATGGCAGGTCCTTGAAAAGTATCCCCTTAGATATGTGGGTCCTACTGTATTGTGCCTTTTAATTCCTCCAAAGGGATTAATTATTCCAAGAAAGTTTTCTTAATTAAGAAATGTTAGGTTAAAGGAATAATTTGATGATTAAAGCGTGAGACTTAACACAGTACAGAGACTCCAGGTTCATAAACATTAGGCAAAATAACCTTCAAGAAGGGATGGGGCAGTCATCCAAAGAATTGGAACACTCTTTCCTTGGATCAAATCTCATTGCCTCCCATTCTCCAGGTGCTATATGATGCTTGTGGGATTAGTTCCTCCCAAGGAATATAATACTCTAATAGCAATTATTAAAAAAGAAATTCATAAGATAAAACCAAAATAAAATGGAAAAATATGAAGTAAATAAAGAAAGCTATAAGTTTTTACACAATACTGTATTGTGCAGTAATTGTTATTAAATCGCTTACTAAATAAAAAATCAAGACTCGGGACAGGAAATAGAACAAAAATTAATTATTTTTAAAACAGCCAGGAAAACAAAAAAAAATATACAAAGATTTCATATATAAATATGCTGGGATAAGGTTAATATGAGTCGAGGTTAAAGAGCATCTGATGTGGCCAGCATCGGGGGGCACTGTTACACAACACATGCTCTGGTCAGGGACACTGTTGCACAACACATGCTCTGGTCGGGGACACTGTTGCACAACACATGCTCTGGTCGGGGACACTGTTACACAACACATGCTCTGGTCAGGGACACTGTTGCACAACACATGCTCTGGTCGGGGACACTGTTACACAACACATGCTCTGGTCAGGGACACTGTTGCACAACACATGCTCTGGTCGGGGACACTGTTACACAACACATGCTCTGGTCAGGGACACTGTTACACAACACATGCTCTGCTCGGGGACACTGTTACACAACACATGCTCTGGTCAGGGACACTGTTACACAACACATGCTCTGGTCAGGGACACTGTTACACAACACATGCTCTGGTCGGGGACACTGTTACACAACACATGCTCTGGTCAGGGACACTGCTACACAACACATGCTCTGGTCGGGGACACTGTTACACAACACATGCTCTGGTTGGGGACACTGTTACACAACACATGCTCTGGTCAGGGACACTGCTACACAACACATGCTCTGGTCGGGGACACTGTTACACAACACATGCTCTGGTCAGGGACACTGTTACACAACACATGCTCTGGTCGGGGACACTGTTACACAACACATGCTCTGGTCGGGGACACTGTTACACAACACATGCTCTGGTCAGGGACACTGCTACACAACACATGCTCTGGTCGGGGACACTGTTACACAACACATGCTCTGGTTGGGGACACTGTTACACAACACATGCTCTGGTCGGGGACACTGTTACACAACACATGCTCTGGTCGGGGACACTGTTACACAACACATGCTCAGAAAGTGATCACTCACTGTG